TTTTTTTTTATCCAACAAAATTCATAGTTCAAATGGGTGATTTTGGAAAAATGGTAGGAGTTACCAAAGAAATGACTTCGAAAGTAACTTCTGGAGGTCGCAATGTATTAAAAAATGTCTTTGGTTAAGTTTAGAAGCTGGTGGAAAAATTCCGAAATTTTCATAAGAGGGATATTGAAAAATTTTGATTTTAAAAAAGTTGTCTACAAATCTTAAAAAATTCTAGAATATAAATTTCGACGTACTGATTCCAAAACTATAGCATGTTTATTCTCCCGGAGCAAGATTTTAAAATAGTGGGTTTAAAATAAGTGGTTTTTTTAAATCCAAAAAATTCCAAAATATTTTAAAAAATTTGTTTTGAAAAAGTGATCTAAAAATCCCCAAAAAATTCTGAGACATAGATTTCGACTTACTAATTCTAAAAATATATTAGCATTTTTATGGTCCCGGGGCAAAATTTTAGAAGTATGCGGTTTGAGATGCGATTTATTTATTTTATTTATTCATTTTTTTTTTTTTTTCTAAAAAAATATATATTTCAATGAGTTTTTCTGGAAAAATGGGCATGCATTATGAAGAAATGAGGCCCAAAGTAACTTCTGGAGATCGAAATGTACAAGAAAATATTTTTTGTAAAATTTCGAATGTGGTTGAAAAATTCCAAAATTTTCAGGAGAATTAAAAAATTTTGGTTTTGAAAAAGTTGTCTAAAAATTCTAAAAAAATTATAGGATATAGATTTTGAGGTGCTGATTCCAAAAATAAAGCATTTTAATCGTCTTCGGACAAGATTTTAGAAAATATTCGGTTTGAACTGCAATTTTTTTACAAAATCCAAAAAAATAGATCACATTTTCAAAGGGCGATTCTGGAAATTGGTAGTAGTTATCCAAGAAATGAAAAGTAACTTCTGAAGGTCGAAAATGTACAAAAAAATATTTTTAGCCAAGTTTCAATGGTGGTCAAAAAATTGCGAAATTTTCATAATTCGTATTTTTCACTGAAAATTTTGGTTTTGAAAAAATTGTGAAAAAATCCTGAAAAAATTCTGTGGTATAGATTTCGACGTACTGATTACAAAAATATAACATTTTCATAGTTCGGAGCAAGATTTTAGAAATATTTGGTTTTAAATGCATTTTTTTTTTTAATCCAACAAAATTCATAATTCAAATGGGCGATTTGGTAGGAGATATCAAAGAAATGACTTCGAACGCAACTTCTGGAGGTCGTAATGTATAAGAAAATGTCTTTAGTTAAGTTCAGACGCTGGTGGAAAAATTTCGAAATTTTTATAAAGGGCATATTGAAAAATTTTGAATTTAAAAAAGTTGTTTACAAATCCGCAAAAAATTCTAGGATATAGATTTCGACGTACTGATTCCAAAATTATAGCATTTTTATACTCCCGGACCAAGATTTTAAACTGATTGGTTTGAAATAAATGTTTTTTTTTAATCCAAAAATTCTAAAATATTAAAAAAAAATATTTTGAAAGAGTGGTCTAAAAATCCTCAAAAAATCCTGAGACAGAATTCGACTTATCAATTCTAAAATATATTAGCATTTTTATGGTCCCGGGACAAAAATTTTAGACATCTGCGGTTTGAGATACGATTTATTTCTTTTATTATTATTATTTTTTTTACAAAAAAATACATATTTCAATGAGTTTTTCTGGAAAAATGGGTGTCAATTGTGAAGAAATATGAGGCCCAAAGTAACTTTTGGAGATCTAAATGTACAATAAACTGTCTTTTGTTAAGTTTCAAAGGTGTTCGAATATTTCCGAAATTTTCAGGTGTTTGAAAAATTTCGATTTTGAAAAAATTGTCTAAAAATTCTCAAAAAATTCTAGGATATAGATTTTGAGGTGCTTATTCCAAAAATAAAACAATTTTATCGTCTTCGGACAAGATTTTAGAAATATTCGGTTTTGGTTTTGAAAAAATTGTCTAAATATGCTGAAAAAATTCTGTGATATAGATTTCAGCATGCCCTTTACAAAAATATAACATTTTTATAGTCCAGGGCAAGATTTTAGAAATATTTGGCTTGAAATGATTTTTTTTTAATCCAAAAAATTCTAAAATATTAAAAAAAATTAGATTTTGAAAAAGTGGTCTAAAAATCCTCAAAAAATACTGAGCCAAATTTCAACTTACTAGTTCTAAAATATATTAGCATTTCTATGGTCCCGAAATAAAAATTTTAGAAATATGCGGTTTGAGATGCGATTTATCTATTCTATTATTATTTTTTATATAAAAAGAATACATACATATTTCATGCGAGTTTTTCTGGAAAAATGGGTATGAATTATGACGAAATGAGGCCCAAAGTAACTTCTGGAGATCTAAATGTACAATAAATATCTTTTGTTAAATTTCGAAGGTGTTCGAAAAATTCCGAAATTTTCAGGAGCTGTTATATTGAAGAATTTTGATTACGAAAAAGTTGTCTAAAAATCCTCAAAATATTGTAGGATATATAGAATTTGAGGTGCTGATTCCAAAAATAAAACATTTTTCTCGTCTTCGGACAAGATTTTAGAAATATTCGGTTCGAACTGCCATTTTTTTTTAAATCCAAAAAAAGGTCATATTTTCAAAAGGCGAATCTGGAAAGTAGTCGGAATTATGGAAAAAATGACATCGAAAGTAACTTTGGTTGAATTTGGAAGCTGGTGGAAAAAATCCGAAATTTTCATAAGAGGCGAAATATTGATTTTAAAATACAATTTTTTTTAGTATTTAAAAAAAGTAATTTCAGTATTCGATTTTGGAAAAATGGTAGGAGTTATCAAAGACATGAGGCCGGAAATACGTTCTAGAGGTCGAAAGTGTAACAAAGGGATAAACAAACAACCTTAGAACGAGCTAAACTTTTTCATTATAGATTGTCATCCGGTCATCAAAAAAATCCCCGATTCCCAATAAAAACAATTTAAAAAATAATAAACCGTAACAACTATAATTATTTCGTATAACAAGTTTTCTTTATTTTTCTAATAAACTGGTAATATTCCCACGAACACTGACTGCAAACTTTTCCTGGTACGTGAATCAGAAAAAATTCTTATGCAAATAGAAATTAAAATGCGAATGCTATGTAAATATGATGAGAAGATTAATAAGCAATCAACAAGAAAAGTACTTATTCACAGTAAGCGTAACCACTGCTACTTATTATATTCATACTCACCGATCAACCCATTACGTAAACATATATATTAATTGACAGTCGATCACCTCAGGGTCAGGATTATCTCCACGTTTTGCTTTATCGACGTGTCAAGGAAACAGAAAACTGCATGCGCATGTTCCATGCACTCTAATGCATTTATTAGCACAACGTCTCTAACTGGCAGTATTGACAACTCATCAAAACAACAATAACGTGCTTTCCTGAAGAATGTTGCATAATAACGATTATGCTGTGCATGGGTCACAGTTTTGGAAAATTGGTGTATGTAATTTTTGTGAAGTTACCCGTGCCCACAATTTCGATTACATTGTTACCTGAGTTAATTGCGTTTTGATCACCAGATTTATATCTCAGTAATTGTTCTTTGTTTTGGATTAATTAAACTATGTATCCCGGATCCGATAAGTTTAATTCATGTACATGTTAACGACTATAATGGACGCGCCACCAACGGCGTTTTCATAGCTTCACCCGATCACATTTTTTCGTTGCAATTCTAGTGGCTCGACTGTGATCGTTGTCGCCTTTTTTCCGGCGTGCGTTATTTTTTCACGGTGGTCTTCAGAGCGATGTCGGTGAACTCGATTATTGTGTTGGCAAGATTGGTAGTGATATTTCGCGTGGAATAAATGTGGCGGAGTCGGATTGCTACCGATAAGTACCAGAGGCGCACCGGGTACGTGCAGAAATCACAAAGAAATCGTCTGCCGTTCTCAGGCACGGACATTATCCGTTAAATTGAATACATTCCTTCACGGACGAAGAGACGGTGGCACATCGCCACCTTGCCACTTATTGCGCCGACAACCAAAAAGTCGGACATTCTTCGGCGGTCCCGCAGGGTGCTGCTTCGGGAACCATGTTGCATGTGGGGGGTGTACATGGAAATGTGGAGTCACGACGGCTTGTTGATTTGACGTTTTGACGTTTTTTGAAAGCGGTGATGCATTGTGGAGGCTGGAATTAGTGTGAAAAAGCAGATAAAAATGTTCTAATGAGCGATTAATTGTTAAGGATGAATGAACCGTTAATAGACGTTACACTTCACAAGGCACGATGTATAATTTTGCGATTAGACCCCTATAGCTTGATAAATTGGATGAGATGCCACTTAGCCGTGCGAATTTTGATTCCTTTACAAAAACTGCATTGACAATGAGGCATACAAGGTTGTAAAATGTGTCGATATTCTCCGGTTGTCAGACGAGATAAGATCTTGAAACAGGAATAAATGAAAACACGGGTTGCACTTAAAAACTACAACTAAGTTCGTCGTGAAATTTTTGTCAAACACGTCTTGAACAATGTAGAAGATCTGTCCATCCAATAAAAAAATATTTGTACCATCTATCGGCAGTGAAGCCGCTTTAAAGCGTAACTTGGTAATAAGAGAGCATCCTTGAGTGTTAACTATGCATAAAAGATAAGCAGTAAAACCCGGAAATAATAAAACACCGAAAGTCACACTAGTTGGTAGATTAGTCACTTCAGGAGCTTGTACAACATATCACTTCTGGAAGATACCGTCAACAATGAAATTTTTATGTGTGTTGTAAAGATAACTCCTGTAATTAAAGTTACGTTGTTATAAATAATCAAAGTTGAGGGGTAAAATTGTTCCAAAAATATTTTGAAGAGATGAGAACAAAGCGTAATTAATTATTCATTCCATCGCTAAATTGAAATAGGTAATTAATTATCATAATTACACAGATCTGCGTGTTTCCCTCTGTGTACCAAAAAAACCACTTATTGTATTCCAAGTTGCTAATTTGAGATTGTTGTTGCAGAGATCCTTCACTCTCATTCTTCAGGCTGTGGACCACAATAACTTTACATTACCTGGTAAGTATAGCGTAACGCTCCTCACCGTCCGTCCTGTGGGCGTCCAACACCCATCCTAGATCATCCTCTATCAGAAGGTGTGCGAGTGCATGTTGACTTATTCAAGAATCTACCCACACGGACTCACACTTTCTACGAGTTGTTCGAGTGATGTTTTCCCAATAAAACTAATTAACCTACTGGGTGCTGACACTTGTGCTACCTCAAACAAAACATATTCAAGAGGTTGTTACCGACGACCACGCACCGTTTTAATTTGTTTGGTACAACTTGAAACGGGCACTTGTCAACCGAAAAGAGATGCTTCACGAGAAATATCCACTTGTGCCTAGTTCATCATACCCCTGATTGCCCAACGACTGTTTGATAAAATTCTGGTGTGCAATTCTATGGCTAGAGGCGCTCCTCTTGACTTGCATTGCCAATCAATTATGCAAATTGAGTTGAGTGTGTTATCACCGGCGTGTCAAAATGTCCGTGGGGAATCGGTCGACATTTTAAAATTGTTAAACAAGTTACAAGCGATTGAAGAATGTTGCAGAATTAGGTGGTAAAATCCAAAATTTTTTACCGAGTTGAGAACTGGTACTTCAACTAGCTACAAAGATGCGAAATTATTTAATCACAATAAACTTAATTCAAGTAGTCCCAGAATGACATCACCAAAAATTCCCTCCATAAAATAATACGCTTTGTTTATCAAGCAATTTTCTGCCGATTAAAGTGAATGTTGATGGCTTCCGCATCACTGTTGAATTTCACCTTGTTGCCTAACCCACCCACCACCAGCGGGTAGCACATGATTCACCACACAGTAGGTCTTGTTTACAACTCCTCATGAATGAAGAACATCTTTTACACGATTGTCCCGGGGGTGTGCGAGATTGTTGTAGCGTGGGCAGTCTTCCGATTCAATCACGAACATCTTTAGGCAAGGACGTCGGTCGACACTTGCTACTTGCTACTGGCTCCCGTTCCGTTCCTCCTCATCAATTTCCTCTTTCTTTTACAGCTACTAACGACATAATAGAAGAAGCCACCTATTCTGGCATCATCGACCCGAGCGCGGAATGGCACACCCTCAACCACAGGGGGCCGAAGGCCCGCCTCACCTACAGGGTGCGGGTCAAATGTGATAGTCATTACTACAATGCCACCTGCACCAAGTTCTGCAGGCCGAGGGATGACAAGTTCGGGCATTATATCTGCGACTCGAATGGGGACAAGGAGTGCATAGAGGGATGGAAGGGGGCGACGTGTGATTTTGGTACGTATAGTTTGGATTTTTATTTTATATTATGCATTATTATAGTGCCAAACAAACAAAATCAATGTTCAGTTACCGTAATTGTTTTAAGTAAAAAATGTACCATACGTGTTTCTTAATGTCGTCATTGTTTCAGCTGTTTGTAAACCAGGCTGTCATCCCGTCCACGGCAAATGTGATAACCCCGGCGAGTGCAAGTTAGTATAACTTTATTTCCATTCTTTACAAATAAGCTTCATTTCCGTCAAATCAATCTTCTTTAATCTCTCATTGGATACCGCAATTAAAAAGTGTATAAGGAAGAGTTTCTCCAGAAAAAACTCTTCAACAAATCCCATCACGGCATGGTTTCCTCGACTCCTGACTTTCTCACGTACCCATCAAATTCCATACCTAAAACCGATTTATTTCTCCAATAATTGACGTATCTTCTTTATGTTAGATACAATTTATCCGACAATTGATATAATTTAATCTTGCAGAATCGCTTTTTCCGCAAACTGCAATAAATAAGATATCTCGGTACGTTACGTGATGACGTGATCCTCTTCGCAATTGCTTCCTCCATCAGCTCGTAACACTCGCGTTCTGATTAAAATGAAACGTATTTTAAACGTCTCGGACCCACTTTGAGATGAGCCAATTAAGTTTTCGCAACCGCGTCGTCTGGCGGCTTACGCAACCCGCGATTCCTCAACAAATACGTAATTGCTGATGGTGTAAATTGAATTGGGTCCGAGACGCTAAAATATCGGCATTTAATAATTACACGTTGAAGCCGACTGGCCGCGAGCCATCTCTGCACGTTACTTTTTTTCCGAGTTCGCCTTTATCACTCACCTATTTGCTTTTATTTCCAGCTAACGCGAAAATTGCACTTGATTAATTGTGTTTGCGTTCGAGTCATTCCTCTGCGCCGTTTCGTAACTGTTATTTTTTTAACAGGCCTTTCATAAATCTGATACGAATTTAATTGTCGGTTATTATAAACGATTATATTTCGTTGTTATTGATGCCAGATATCCGAAGATTATATATTAACTTCTGTTGTATTAGCAGGGCTACGCCTACTGCTTTCTTTCGTAATTAATGCCAGAACGGACGGGCTCCGCACGGTTTTCGATAAAATCTAATGCCGACCCTGGCAAGGAATGCCATACGCACAGCGAAGTGCACATATTTCACTCAAAGGTCAGAGGTATGCTACTTACCCTATTCATCTTCAGTGGCATATGTTGGAAAAAATCGATATCTACACGATAAAAGCACTTTGGAAACGCATACCGAATTACATTATATCCAAAGATAATTTTTAATTCATTTCACACAGAATCAATGAAAAAAAACGTTTGATACACCTTTTTGTTGTCTGTATATTTATTTGTTTTCTAGTGAGTTCTACGCATTCCATTTTTTCTTTCTCGTCGTTTTGACCTCGATGTCTTTATTATCATTTGTTGTATACTTTCCATCTCATTTCTTTTCTGGTTTTCAATTGACTTGTGTTTATAGTTCTCTAGTTTCGCTGTTTTTTTATTAATTCCCTTCTCTCTCGCTGCCTCCCTCTTTCCGCCTTTCTCCCTCTGCCTCTCTCCCTATACCTCTAGTTCTCGGCGCCCCTCGTTCTCTTTCTCCCTCTCCCTTGCTCTTGGCGCCTCACTCTTTTTTTCAAGATGTCCCACTCTCGGCGCCTCTCTCTGCCTCTTTCTCCTACCTCTCCCTCTCTCTCGGCGACACATTTTCTCTTTCGCGGTGCCTCACTCTCTGGCACCTCTCTCTCCCTCTCCACATTTGCCTCTGTCTCTTTCCCCTGCCCCCCTCTCTCTCTGTGTGTGTGTGTGCCTCTATCTCTCCCTGTATGTTCTCACTCTCCTTCTGCCTCACTCTTTCTCAGCGCCTCACTCTTTCTCGACGCCTCTCTCTGCCTTTCTCCTCTACTTCTCTCTGCCTTTCTCCCTCTGCCTCTCTCTGCCTTTCCCTCTCTGTCTCCCTCGCGCTGCCTCGCTCCCTCTGCTTCTCTATGTCGGTGCCTCTCCCTCTGCCTCCCAATCTGTATGTCTCTCTATCCACTTTTCTCCTTCTGCCTCTCCCCCTATACCTCTCTTTCTCGGCACCTCATTTTTTCTTTCACGGTGCCTCACTCTTTCTTTCGCGGTGCCTCACTCTCTATCTTTACCTCTGCCTTTTCCCCTGCCCCCCTCTCTCTCACTGTTTCTCTCTCTGCCTCTCTCCCCTGCCCCCCTCTTTCTCTGCGCCTCTCTCTGTGTCTTTCTATCTCTCCTTGTATGTTCCCCTCTCTCTACGACCCTCTCCTTCTGCCTCACTCTTTCTCGGCGCCTCACTCTTTCTCGGCGCCTCACTCTTTTTCTCAGCACCTCACTATTTTCGGCGCCTCACCCTCTTTCTCTCGGCGCTCCTCATTCTTTCTCGACGCCTCTTTCTCTCGCGTTCTCTCACTCGGCGCCTCTCTCTGCCTTTCTCCCTCTGCCTATCTCTGCCTCTCTCGCGTTGCCTCACTCCCTCTGCCTCTGTATCTCGACGCCTCTCCCTCTCTCTCTCTCCTCTCCCTCTCTCTCTCTCTCCTCTCTCTCTCTCTCTCTCTCTCTCTCTCTCTCTCTCTCTCTCTCTCTCTCTCTCTCTCTCTCTCTCTCTCTCTCGACGCCTCTCTCTCTCTCTCTCTCTCTCGACGCCTCTCCCTCTCTCTCTCTCGATGCCCCTCTATCTGTATTTCTCTCTTTCCGCCTTTCTCCTTCTGCCTCTCCCCCTATACCTCTCTTTCTCGGCGCCGCTCTCACTCGTTCTCTCGGCGACACATTTTCTCTTTCGCGGTGCCTCACTCTCTGGCACCTCTCTCTCCCTCTCCACATTTACCTCTACCTCTGCGTGTTTCCCCTGCCCCTTTCTCTCGCTCTCCGTCCCTTGCCCCCGCTCTCTGTCTCTCTATGCCTCGATCTCTCCCTGTATGTTCCGTTCCCTTCTCTCTCCTTCTGCCTCACTCTTTCTCAGCGCCTTACTCTCTTTCTCAGCGCCTATTCTCTTTCTCGGTGCCTCACTCTCCTTTTTTCGGCGCCTCACTCTCATTTTCTCGGCGCCTCACTCTCCTTTTCTCGGCGCCTCACCCTCTCTTCCTCGGCGTATTTTGCTATCTCTCGACGCCTATTTCTCTCGCGTTCCCTCACTCGGCGCCTCTCTCTGCCTTTCTCCCTCTACTTCTCTGCCTTTCTCCCTCTGCCTCTCTCTGCCTTTACCTCTCTGTCTCCCTCCCTCTGCCTCTCTATCTCGGTGCCTCTCCCTCTGCCTCCCAATCTGTATGTCTCTCTTCCCGCTTTACTCCTTCTGCCTCTCCCCCTATACTTCTCTTTCTCGACACCTCATTTTTTCTTTCGCGGTGCTTCACTCTTTCTTTCGCGGTGCCTCACTCTTTATCTTTACCTCTGCCTCTCTCCCCTGCCCCCCTCTTTCTCTGCGCCTCTCTCTGTGTCTTTCTATCTCTGCTTGTATGTTCCCCTCTCTCCACGACCCTCTCCTTCTACCTCACTTTTTCTCGGCGCCTCACTCTTTTTCTCAGCGCCTCACTCTCTTTTTTGGCGCCTCACTCTTTCTCAGCGCCCTACTCTGTTTCTCGGCGCCTCACTCTTTCTCGACGCCTTTTTCCCCCGCTCTTTCGCTCGGCGTCTCTCTGCCTTTCTGGCTCGGTCTCTCTCTCTCTCATTCTCAATATCTTCTTCTGCCTCCCTCCCTCTGTCTATCTCCTTCTGCCCTTCTTCTTCTGCCTCTCTCTTTCAGCCCCTCTTCTTCTGCCTCTCCCACTCTGGCCTTCCCCTTCTGCCTCTCTCTCCCTCTACCTCGCTCTCGATGTGTCTCTGTGTTTCTCTGTCTATTTCTGTCTGTGTGTGACCCCCTCTTTTCCGCCTCTCCTCTGTTGCCTCTCCCTCTGCCTGCATCTCTCTCCCTTTCGGCACCTCTATCATTCTCTTTCTCGGCGCCCCTGTTCCTCTCTTTCTCCCGTTCGGCACATCTATCGCTCTTTTTCTATCGGCGGTTCTATCACACTTTCCCTCTTCCTCTTTATTCTCTTACCTCTCCCGCTTTTCGTTTTTTCCTTTATGTGATTAATATTTGCCTTCAATTTTTGGATGAATTTTTGATTTTTTAAATTTTTGTAATCACACATTTCACAAGTTCTTCTGCGCTTTTAAGCGGACTTTTTCTTCTTTTTTTTTTCCTCTTCGTTTTTCCATAGTTCTTTCATACTATTCTTGTGAATTTATTGTCTTTTCTTTAATTATTTCTTCCATTATTATAGTCTTCATTTTAACATAAATTTATATTTTCTTACATTGCCAGCAATATTGGGTTGAGTGCGGTATTGAGTCAATTTATAGAAGGTCGTAATTTAAAAAAGTGCATTCAAAATTTGAGATTATTATGTTTATGTTTACAGATTTTCAGTAATATTAATCTTAATTCCTCTTTCATATTATATTATACTTATACTTTTTTTTCTTATTCTATTTAGATAAACTCTTTAATTTGTTGCAACTTTTTTTAACTTTCTTCATCAATATCTTGTGCCATTTTTTTTTGCTTTGATTTCCGAGTTTTGATCTTTAAATTTGTAAGTTTTTACTTCCCGAGCGTAAACTAAGGGAGTATTGTAATAGGGTCCAGGCGACTTGATATTTTCCCGACGTTCTATAACCTCCCGTTTCCGTCTATCTGTCTGTTTGTCGTCTATGTCAATTTTTGTTGGACATACCGAAACTACTAGACCAATTGTTGTCAAATATTGTATGTATATTAGAAATATCATGTAGATGGTAAAATACTAACCAAAATTTGGCTAGTCATCGCCACCAACAATCTGAAGTCATCCCCTAATCATCTTGTATGGTAAAGAGATTTTATAAAATAATGTAGTCCTGTACTCCTGGTTCATGAATCCGCCTTTTGATTTTTTTTTTTTTTCACAATTACTTATGAATATATTTTTGTGCAATATTTTCCCTTTAAGTAGTGTTGCCGTTTTCTCAATATTTTTCTTTCTATTTGTTTTTGTTTTCTAAAATTATATTTCCTTCTACTTTCCTATGTTATTTCAAATGGCTTCGACTTATTTAATGTTATTTAAGTGATAATATTTCGTAAAAAACACATTTTGACTCCTCTGGTGTGACGTCAATATTATTTTTACAAAGACAACACAAAAACTAACCTATAAAGCCTCACATTTTTTACTGTTATCTTGGTTCTGCCAAAATACTTAAAAAATTAGTTTAAATAATAAAAATTCTTCAAACTTCAGCGTTTTTATTTATTTCGATCCTTTGTAGATACATCGACCTCCAAAATACGTTTAGCAACATTTAACCATCTGTATTTGTGCAAATTCAGGTTATGTAATTGTAAATTGCGTGCAAGAATTCCTGCTTATCATTCTACTTGGTAAAGGTGGTCAAGTAAATCCAGTTACATTTTTCCGTTTTCTCGTTGTTTTTGACCTAAAACCCAAAGTCAACCTTTTCTTTCCCCTTTTGGCGTTACTTTAACCACTTCCTAGTACCAAATTTAACTATTGCCAACACAAAAACGCACCTCTTCCATCTCGACATCCCAAAGTTCCCCTCTTGACCTCCCGTCGAAGTCTCCACGTCTCAGTTACGGTCAGCGGTCTCGGCGTGAAATTCCTGCCTCTTGAGGGCAAAGCACACAAAATGAGTCGGTTTTTTCGCCGCCGAAGCATATTCTACACTTCCGTCGGGACGTGCATTATGGTGTTAATAACACTGTTAGAAGTGTGTTGGAGGTGCAAATTTGTCACGGCTCGTACCACAATAAAACGGAGCAATCATTGCATTGTGTCGGGAACGGAAAAGGCGAGACGCTTCCGAGAAATCGCGGCAAAAAGAGACTCTGTTGCGCAACCTGCATGTATTTACACGCTTTTAAAAATCTTTCACGGATTTTATGCTTTTCAGTTGCCGGCCCGGATGGCGAGGGGACTTCTGCGACCAGTGCGAGCCCTACCCCGGATGCAAGCACGGGTACTGCAATGGGTCGTCGTGGCAGTGCATCTGTGATACCAACTGGGGAGGAATCTTATGCGATCAAGGTAATGGAAAAAAGAGAAGCAAAAAATGTGCTTAGTCGTTGTCTTGACAATCCCAACTTCTAAATTATTTTGGTCACTTCTAGTATCCTAGAATTGAGGTTTCCGAAAGGTACTACCGATAGCGTCATCTCAAAAATTTGTGAAATAAATATCTGTTGAAAAATTTCATTGTCAACTTCTCCAGTCATCCAAAAAAACTGGACTTGTTCGATTATTATATTTCAGGGACGTGAGAAGCTCTTCGTAAATAGTTTTACATCAATTTTTGCATAATGTGGACTCTGTTCCCAACATACCAATGTTGGTGTCAAATTTAAGTTTGATTTTCAAAAATTGAAGCTGTAATTTTGAATATTTTACACCAACTTCTCGACGTTTGTTGTTACTTAAGGACAACACCCCTGCCAACATTACATAACAAAAGCTGTTGTTTTCCACGTTCACTTCCCATTACTTACCATAATAATAGCATTAATATGCAAGAGGCGATAAACTAATTTAAGAAGCTTAGTTAAAAACGTAAAGCTAAAGAGAACCAACACATGCTTGCTGCTGCACTTTGAAACACCGTGGGATATTTTACAGGTGCGAGTGTCGAGTTCTTGGGACCATAATACGCCTAAGTCCTCTAATCTCAACCGGATACGTCCGAAGAAAAAAAGGATTAGGTCCATAAAGCCTCGTATGTCAGCGAGCTTTTGTTTAATTTCGTGGGTTACTAACTCTTATTTATGGTGGCAAACAGCCGGAGGCTGCGCAACCTAATGTAGTTCTTGAACTCGTAACGTTTAGCAAAAAACGAGGAAGCGCGTCCTGTATGGTAATTAAAATTTTTGGTGATTGGTCAAATTTCCGCAGCGTGACACTTAGAATTGGCAAGGTCATGTGCTTCTAATAGACGGAGTTAATTGCCTGTTTTCGGTCATCAGCTATAATTGTGTGGAGTTTTTTCGCGTTTTCAAAGTTTAATTCGTTCCCAGGTGTGCGCGATTTTTTCTATAAATCAAATTGATCTGAGTCTAGTGATGCTAAATTCGCCAAATTCCTGAGATACTTGTGGGTTTTGGAGGCGAATTATCGTGCTGCACACGGACGGTCAGTGTAATTTAATCCAGCGTTTATAGTGTTGATGAACTTTTTATATTAACACATCGCTATAACTTGTTATCTGCACGCGCCATTTTGACTCTTTATCACTGGTAACATAATGAGGTTTGTCAAATTAAAAGCGGAATGAAGTTGTCGTGTACAGGTCTGAGAACAGGTTTGGGCAAAATCGGCACATCTATGCTTTGGTGCTTTATGGTAATTCATTTTCGGTCCTCAAACGATCTTCCGTTGTCATAATAACTTGCCGTTTTAAGGAAAAAAAAGTAGGCCCGCCCACCCGCCCTATCTCAATTGTAATGATTTTTTTCATTCATCGTGAGCCAAGAGGGCGGAGCTTAACTGCAAAATCGTTATTTCTCTACGAGAAATTAAAAACATGTTTTTGAGTATCGTGTTGTTCAAAGCATACTATGACTATTAAGAAAAAAATACAGCCAAAGATTAGGCCCCACCCATACCCGCCCCGACCTCAATTCTCAATTGTGATGAATTTTTCATTCGTTGTCAGAGCGAGGGGCGGAGCGTAATTGCAAAATCGATATTTCCCTATACAAATTTACCATTTTAAACATGTTTTCAGTGTCTTCTTGTAAGAAGATGACTACACATATTAAGAAGACAAAGGAAAATGTTAGCCCCGCCCACCCACCCTGTCTCAATTGTGATGATTTTTTTTTCAATCGTCGAGAATCAAAGGAGCGGAATTTAATTGCAAAATCGTTATTATTTGTCTACAAGAAATTACCATGTAAGACATATTTTTGACTATCGGGTTATTCAAACAATACTTTGGATATAAAAAAAAAAACAAAATAAAGCCAAAGATTAAGCCCTGATCTAAATAGTAATGAAATTTTTATTCGTTACCTAGGGGCGGAGCGCATTTGCAAAATCTATATTTCCGTATATTTGGCATTTTTTTCTTAATATACATAGTATTCTTTGCACAACACGGTATCAAACACATGTTTTTAATTTCTTGTATAGAAATAAATATTTTGCAGTTAATCTCCCTTTGGTTCTTGGCGAATAAAAAAAAGTCATCACAATTGATATAGGGCGGGTGGGCGGGCTTAAATTTTGCCTTTTTGTTTTAACATATGTAGGCTTCGTTTCACAAAAGAAACTGAAAACATGTTTAAAATGGAAAGTTTGTATAAGAAAATATCGATTTTGCAATTAGGCACCGCCTCATAATTGCAAAAATATACCATTTTTATCATGTTTAAAGTTTCTTGTTGTGAAAAGATAGCTATGTTTATTAAGAAATAAAACGCAAAATATAAGCCCCGCCCACCCTCCCTATCTCAATTCTGATGATTTTTTTTATTCATCGTGAGCCGAAGGGCGGAGCTTAATTGTAAAATCGATATTTCCCTATACAAATTTACCACTTTAAACATGTTTGAAGGTTCTTGTTATGAAAAGATGACTACACATATTAAGAAAACAAGGCAAAATGTAAGCCCCGCCCATCCGCCCTATCTCAATTCTGATGATTTTTTTTTATTCGTCGTGAGCCGAGGGGCGGAGCTAAATTGTAAAATCCATATTTTCTTACAAAAATCTACCATTTTAAACGTGTTTAAGTTTCTAAGAATAAAAAAAATCATGACAATTGAGATGAGTCGGTGAGCGGGGTTTATATTTAGCCTTTGTTTTCTTAATACACATAGTATTCTTTGAACAACACGATACTCAAAAACATGTTTTTAGTTTCCTGTAAAAAATAAGTATTTTGCAGTTAAGCTCCGCCCTCTTGGTTCTCGGCAAATAACAAAAAAATCGTTACAATTGAGATAGGGCGGGTGGGCGGGCTTAAATTTTGCCTCATTGTTTTAATATACGTAGACTTCTTTTCACAACAAGAAACTTAAAACGTATTTAAAATGGAAAATTTGTATAAGAAAATATCTAATTTGCAATTAGGCTCCGCCCTATAATTGCAAAATCCATATTTCCTTGTAAAAATGTACCATTTTCACCATGTTTTAAGTTTCTTGTGGTGAAAAGATGACTACATATATTAGGAAAACAAGGCAAAATGTAAGCCCCGCCCACCCGCCCTATCTCAATTCTGATGATTTTTTTATTCATCGTGAGCCGAGGGGCGGAGTTTAATTGTCAAATCGATGTTTGCCTATACAAATTTACCATTTTAAACATGTTTGAAGGTTCTTGAAAAGATGACTACACATATTAAGAAAACCAGGCAAAATTTTGCCATTTTGCCTGTTTGTTTTAATATGTGTAGATATTTTTTTAACTACAAGAAACTTAAAACATGTTTAAAATGGAAAATTTGTATAAGAAAACATCGATTTTGTAATAACTATGTTTTAAGTTTCTTGTTCTGAAAATATGGATATGTATAGTAAGAAAAAAAAAGCCAAAATATAAGCCCCGCCCACCCACTCAATCTCAATTGTAATGATTTTTTTAATCGTCAAAAGCTACAGGAGCGGAATTTAATTGCAAAATCATTATTTCTCTACAAAAAATTACCATGTAAGGCATGTTTTTGAGTATCGTATTATTCAAAAAATGCTATGTATAATAAGAAAAAAATTAATACGAAAAATTAAGCCCCACCCATACCTGCCTTGATCTAAATAGTAATGAAGTTTTTATTCGTTGACAGACCTAGGGGCGGACCCTATTTGAAAAATCCACATTTCCTTCGAAAAATTTACCATTTTAAACATGTTTTAAGTTTCTAATAATAAAAAAAATCATCACAATTGAGATGGGGTGGGTGGGCGGGGTTTATATTTGCCTTTTTTCCTTAATACACATAATATGTTTTGAACAACACGATACTCAAACATATATTTTTAGTTTCGTGTACAGAAATAAGTATTTTGCAGTTAAGCTCCGCCCCTTGGTTCTCGATGAATAAAAAAAATCATCACAATTGCGATATTTTTTTTAATATATTATGTAGACTTTTTTTCACAACAAGAAACTTAAAATATATTTAAAATGGAAAATTTGTACAAGAAAATATCTAATTTGCTATTAGGCTCCGCCCTATAATTGCAAAATCCATATTTCCTTGTAAAAATGTACCATTTTCACCATGTTTCAAGTTTCTTGTGGTGAAAAGACGACTGCACATATTAAGAAAACATGGAGAAATTTAATCCCCGCCCACCCGCCCTGTCTCAATTCTGATGATTTTTTTTATTCATCGTGAGCCGAGGGGCGGAGCTTAATTGTAAAATCGATATTTCTCTATTCAAATTTACCATTTTAAACATGTTTGAAGGTTCTTGTTATGAAAAGATGTCTACACATATTAAGAAGACAAGGCAAAATGTAAGCCCCGCCCACCCGGCCTATCTTAATTCTCATGATTTTTTTTTTAGTCGTCGTGAGCCGTGGGGCGGGGCTTAATTGTAAAATCCAAATTTTCTTACAAAAATTTACCATTTTAAACGTGTTTTAAGTTTCTAAGAATAAAAAAATCATCACAATTGAGATGGGGTGGGTGGGCGGGGTTTATATTTTGCCTTTGTTTTCTTAATATACATAGTATTCTTTGAACAAGACGATACTCAAAAACATGCTTTTAATTTCTTGTAAAGAATAAGTATTTTACAGTTAAGCTTCACCCCCTTAGTATTCGGCCAATAAAAAAAATCATCAGAATTGAGATAGGGCGGGTGGGCGGGCTTTCATTTTGCCTTTTTGTTTTAATATGTATAGACTTTTTTTTACTACAAGAAACTTAAAACATGTTTAAAATGGAAAATCTGTCTAAGAAAACATCGATCTTGCAATTAGACACCGCCTCATAATGTACCATTTTTACCATGTTTTAAGTTTCTTGTTATGAAAAGATAACTATGTTTATTAAGAAATAAAAGGCAAAATATAAGGCCCGCCCACCCTCCTCATCTCAATTCTGATGATTTTTTTGTTCGTCGTGAGCCGAGGGGCGGAGTTTAATTGTCAAATCGATGTTTCCCTATACAAATTTACCATTTTAAACATGTTTGAAGGTTCTTGAAAAGATGACTACACATATTAAGAAAACAAGGCAAAATGTAAGCCCCGCCCACCCGCCCTATCTCAATTCTGATGATTTTTTTTTTATTCGTCGTGAGCCGAGGGGCGGGGCTTAATGATAAAATCCATATTTTCTTACAAAAATTTACCATTTTAAACGTGTATAAGTTTCTAAGAATAAAAAAATCATCACAAGTGAGATGGGGTGGGTGGGCGGGGTTTATATTTTGCCTTTGTTTTCTTAATATACATAGTATTCTTTGAACAACACGATACTCAAACATTTTTGATTTCTTGTAAAGAAATGAGTATTTTGCAGTTAAGCTCCGCCCTTTTGGTTCTCGGCAAATAAAAAAATCGTTACAATTGAGATAGGGCGGGCGGGAGGGCTTTCATTTTGCCTTTTTGTTTTAATATGTGTAGACTTTTTTTTCACTACAAGAAACTTAAAACATGTTTAAAATGGAAAATCTGTCTACGAAAACATCGATTTTGCAATTAGGCTCCGCCCCATAATTGCCAAATCCATATTTCCTCGCAAAAATGTAGCATTTTTACTATGTTTTAAGTTTCTTGTTCTGAAAAGATGGCTATGTATAGTAAGAAAAAAACAGGCAAAATATAAGTAACGCCCCAATCTCAATTGTAATGATTTTTTTTAATCGTCGAAAGCCACAGGAGCGGAATTTAATTGCAAAATAACTATTTTTCTACAAAAAATTACCATGTAAGACATTTTTTTGAGTATCGTATTATTCAAAAAATGCTATGTATAATAAGAAAAAAATGTATGCCAAAGATTAAGCCCCACCCATACCTGCCTTGATCTAAATAGTAATGAAGTTTTTATTCGTTGACAGACCTAGGGGCGGACTATTTGAAAAATCCACATTTCCTTGAAAAAATGTACCATTTTAAACATGTTTTAAGTTCCTAATAATAAAAAAATATATCACAATTGCGATGGGGTGGGTGGGCGGGGTTTATATTTGCATTTGTGTCCTAATACACATAATATTCTTTGAAGAACACAATACTGAAAAATATATTTTTAGTTTCGTGTAAAGAAATAAGTATTTTGCAGTTAAGCTCCGCCCCCTTGGTTCTCGGCGAAAAAAAAAAAATCATAACAAATGCGATAGGGCGGGTGGGCGGGCTTACATTTTGCATTTTTGCTTTAATATAGTATGTAGACTTTTTTCACAGCAAGAAACTTAAAACATTTTTAGAATAGAAAGTTTGTATAAGAAAATATCGATTTTGCAATTAGGCTCCACCCCATAATTGCAAAATCCATATTTCCTTGCAAAAATGTACCATTTTAACCATGTTTTAGGTTTCTTGTTATGGAAAGCTGGCTATGTATATTATTAAGTAAAAAAATGAAAATATAAGTTAAATATAATGTTTTCCTTTTGTCTATGATAAAATGATGTAGATGTATTCACTACAGCTTTTTTCATGTTCTAAGTCCCTAAAAACAGTTCAATCAACCAAAAAAATGTGGCAGAAATATCGTAAAATATCACCATTGTCATCTGTTTTCCCCTTTTTTGTGTCTTAAACACTAAAATCGCTTGAAAAGCCTCATACTGACACCTATTTTAAAGACCCCTATCATATTAAATATTCGTTAGTAATACATTCAGGCCAAAAAATGGCGCCTAATTCAAACTTGTCTGTCGTCTAGCGTTCCACCTTAATGGCCTTTTATTGCCTTATTTTGAAAAAAAGCCACTTCTGCCTCGATTCTTTAAGCACCTTTCCCACAAAAACAATCCATTAAAAACGTGCACAGCAAGAATAATGGAGAATGTAGTTACATAATAACACTCAATGAATAATGTCTAAAAAAGCTAATGTACCATGCAAGCGATCTGTCATTTCCATACAACTTAATAATCATAAACTTCACCGCACGATCGCGCTTTGTCACGAGAATATTCGAAAAAAATAATGAGAATTCGACAGATGCGCCCTCGTACAACTGTTGTGTACAAAACAGAAAAAACTCGAGTGTCCTAAAGGGAACATTGTCCATTCATCACCATCTCCATAAAAAAATAGAGCAACAGGGGCGTTATGGATTGTGGTCCGGGACAATGCTGCACTTGATCATGCGGCCGTTCCAACCCCCTTTATTAAATTAACAAAAGTTTTTAAATAGGGATAGTTTAACCCTTCGACATGTGTAGACGAGGGCGGCAATTAAGCGCACATTATGGAAGAAAAAAAGTGTGAATCTGAAGCAAGTGTCGATTACGCATTGTGACACCATAGGGTGTTCAATATAGCTACTCAGCAAAATTTTGAGATGACGTAACCCAAATCCTGAAAGCTTATTTCAGGATCTCTCGCCCATTATGCAAATGCGGGCCGTTAATTATTTCAGCCATCCAACATGTTATTAAAAGGAAGCCCCGTAACACCAATTTACCTTTCGAAAACAGCACAATTCCCATCGAACCATCAATTCGGTTCACTCATCCTGTCAATCACGGAGGTCAAGCAGGCTAATTATAATTCCTAAAACAAGCGCTTTTTTCAGCGTCTAACTTTTTAATCTTTTCAGATTTAAATTACTGCGGAACCCATGAACCGTGTTTAAATGGGGGCACCTGTGAGAACACGGCCCCGGATAATTACTTGTGCACATGCCCGGAAGGGTTTTCCGGTACCAATTGCGAAGTCGTGGACAACCCGTGCGCTCCACAACCGTGCCTCCACGGAGGGACTTGTCTGGAAGCCGGAGGCTCCTTCAGCTGCGAGTGCGCCCCGGGATGGACCGGGACCACGTGTAATGTCGGTAAGTCATCGTAGCTTGAAAAGCTGTCACAGCGATGTACTGTGAGTTCGTCCCAAGATAAATAAGCTATCAAATGTGTGATATTTAAGTTTACCTTTCCCCTAATGTAAACCGCGTTTTATTTACTCTGCGACCTACTGTTATCGATAAATCTTTCGTTGGGGTCGAGTGGTTGAAAGTATGTGAAGGGAGCATTGTAAACTACACTTGACACTTGTTCATCATTGGAGCCTCTTGTAGCGTTGATTGATGAGAAGCAGCCCCTTTCTTTTGTTGGATTGTTAGATTTCTGATTAGTTCCAGAGGTTTCACACAATTAAGTTTAATTAATTGAATTAAAGATTATATTAATAATCAGGTCGTGAGAATCGTACGAGCTTGAGTTACAGTAGGAAAAATATTCGGTTTATTTTCTGCATAACGTTTGGTTTCTTTGCCTCAGACAATATTAATAATGCTCGGCCTATAATTATGGTGTTGGGGATTATTAAGTTACACCTACACACAAATCCAATCAAAGCTACTAAGTAATAAATAGACGATCGGTTACAGCACAAGGAAAGAACTTTGAATTTTTATAGTTACTAATCACCGAGTATATAATAACATGGGCGTGAAGGTTGATACATCTATGGTAATAATGCTTGTTTTGGACTTCGTGTGTCACTGAGCGAAGTTTTTGAAAATTATTGCCTGGATCTGTCATAAACTACGCTAGCAGTATTAGTTACAAAATTGTAATTACGGGTGTCACACATTTCCTGAAATTTTGGTGTTTCAAATTTGCCGCACATTTATAGTAATATTCACCATACAGCATAGGCGGCAAAATCAACGCCGTACTTTTTTTTAAGACACAATCTATTAAATATTAAACGATTCCGAGAATTTAAAGCCAGACTGAGTAAGCTTAAAGTAAGTCAAACTTTAACAACAAACCAACCAATTAATTTTTTTGAGGTTAACTCAATACAGTTAAAGGCTATAATAGTGGACAAAGCTTTTTCGGTTACTGGAATTAAGTTATTCTGCTTTTTGTGGAAATTGTGGTTTCGTCTTCATTAGATTAGTGGATATTGAAATCACGATTTTGTCTGAAAAAACTATAGTTAAACCACAGTTACGTAGTGATTGGTGAGACCTGTGTCCACAGAACATATAATTTTGTCTTTAAGGTTTCTTTTTTGTGGTAATGTTTGTTTATGGAATAGTTTTTCTTTGAATTATGCAAAAATATGTCACAATAATCACACGTTAGGAAAAACGTGTAGCTTCTAATTTAAAGCAGTTTTCGGTGGCATGTCTTCGGTCACGAAAAACTCGTTGCACGGAATTATCTCAGCCTAAAAGTAAATGGCACAATCAAAAATTATAGGTAGCCATTTGATATTTCATGATAGACATATATCTTCATAATTACTTATAAATAACCTCCTGAAGGGAGCAGACCTTGAGGTTGCCAAAACCGACAATTTATTAACTCTAGAGTAGTGATTTCCTTATGATTGGCAAATGGGAAAGTCTAGTACTATTAATTATACAACAATGCTTACGCACAGCTGCAAAAAGTCTTGTGAGACGTCTATTTTTGGTCATTCCATTTCTTCTTTTCCCTGTGGACCTCGTTTTTCGAGTCCAACTTTTTGTACCCCGTGCCCATCTTATGAAATAACGTCTCCCAGCATGAAGCCCATTAAAACTCCCGCCGCCTTAAAAACACCACGTTCCCACCGGATCAACCTTTCGCGAATAAAAACACAAGCGAATCCGATAAAACTCGCTTTAAAGAAGAAGAGAAAGTGAAGAAATAGTCGAGCCGAAGCCGAGTTGTTTTCGTACCACGCCTCTCACGTTGCCATCAAACAACAGACCTGTTATTTTCTGAGAAGTTAAATTAATTGAGTTTTTTTTCTACCGAGAAGGTAAGCGTTTCTACCGGCAACCATAATGAATCCTACGGCCCGACTTCTTCAGTAAATGGTAGTTGTCTACTGTTTTTTAAAATTGTTATTTATTAAATTATTTAATTTACTCATCCAAGTTTTTAGAACTTCATTTCTACGTTTCCTCGTACCCTGCAATTATGCCCAGAAAATGATGGGTATTGCTGTACCAACAAAATGGGATCCTTCGACGTCATGATTTATCATTAGCACAAACGCGCCGCCAAATTCCCCTAAATCGGGGTACCACCACCAGCTTGACTAAGAGTAGAGATAGAGTCAAAATCATTTTTTCCTTGTTAATTTCTGGTCGTTGATCGAATTGAACCATCTCGGATTGACCATCACGAATAGGAAGAGCACATTGAGTATATCGTGCCGAATAGGTGGCAGCACTGGTGGAATGCGGGGTCAAAGGTGGCTGAGCGCAGCGTTCTGACGTAATTAAGTCTCCCCGCGATCGCAGCGCTCCCTACAAGTAATAGATATAATAACGGGGCGGGGGAGCGACGTAATTGCCGGGTACGTCTCTGATTTATACGGACAGAACGGCCGTCTTTTTCTATCGGCAGGGGGCGCAACCTCTAATGTCACCTTGCTTTCCGCACAGGTAGTCCCTAAAATATGGCCAATCCCGAACAGATAAATCCCCCAATTACTCTCTGACACGACAAGATTTACTTTCCAAAATTACGCAGTTATGCGCAATTTTGCTAACAATGATGGATGCTTGCCTCCGCGTAAGAAGCCATAAGTGTCAAAAAAAAAGATCTTATCTCGAAAACACTGGAACTCAATTTTGGAGCGGCGCACATTTATTACGGCAGAGGGCGTGACTTGTCGAACGAAATATGATTGGGGCAAAAATGTATCAAGGTCGTGTATCAAAGTAAGAGTCAATTTATATTAAATTAAAAAGATGGTTAAATGTGGGCACCGATTCGGTTATCGCGGCGATCTTGTTTCGTAAGCAATTATTGCAGCAGGTGTTAACGGAATTTGCAATTTTTCGGGGTTAGGTTGGCAAGATAAGGTGAAATTTGTTGTCTTCTGCCTCAGGTCGGCCAACCGCTGCGAAAATAATCCAAGCAATGAGCGTCGTTGATGGAAGCCGACTATCACAGCTCTAAAATGAATGATACGTCGTGCTTTATTTGCGACAGCGGTATTTCCCGGCTCATGATGCTAGATTAGATAGTACAAGGAAAAGAAAAAAATTACGAGTTACTGTCTTCTTAACATGATATATCTGTTTCGTGCTTCACTCGGATACGGCAACCGTTGATTTTATAGGAATAGTTGACCTAAGTGCAGTTCTTATTGTTTCGTTATTTTATTGCAGACATTGATGAATGCGCCTCAGCTCCGTGTCAGAACGGTGGAACGTGCGTCGATCTGGAGGACTCTTTCAAGTGCGACTGTCCAACAGCGTGGGAAGGAAATGTCTGCCAGTTCGGTAAGTCTACCAGAAGAAGAATGGAGTTTGTTTTTCAATTGTACACAACTTTTACTAACAACTTTTCCGGGTAACATTAATAACAAAGACACAGGTATTCGTCCCCTAATTTTTTATTTCTTCCAGCCATAACTTTCTTATTATTAATGATACGCCGAAAAGTTATTAACAACAGTTGTAGATAATCATATTGTCTACAGAAATGGTTCTGACAAATTTTTTGTCAGACCCAGAGTTGCGGAGATAACTCAAAAAATCGTTGCAAACCCGATTCTCGGGATGGCTGTCCCGGATACCTGGGTTCGAATCTCGTAGATTTTGAGTGTGTTTGTGGTTTCAGACGCCGACGAGTGCCTCCGCACCCCGTCCCCGTGCATCAACGCCATGTCCTGTGTGAACCTGGTCGGCGACTACCGGTGCAAATGCCGGGTCGGATGGACTGGAAAAAACTGCGATCAGAACATCAACGATTGTGTGGGACAATGCCAACATGGCGCCACCTGCATCGATTTGGTCAACGATTACCACTGTGCCTGTCAGCCTGGATACACAGGTCCGTACTAGCAAAAAAACTCCAGCATCCCGTCTGAATACAATCGCGCGTTTAACGAATCCGCTCATCTTTATGATTGCAGATCTTGATCAAAGATAAGCAGATTCGTCAGAGCGACACATAAACTAAGATCCTCCGGTGCGTCGTCTTAGACCGTCCAGAAATTCTTCGTGCGAAACGTGGAATAAGAATGCGTCATTAAAATTCATTCTGACGTGTGAATGTTAACGCAAATTACCGTTGCTTTTGCGCTCACGACGGCTCGCCTCTTGGAAAACGACAGAGAAAGAGATGTTGGCGGTGTTGATAAGTGCATTTGCATTCGGTGGTGCACGATTTCGTGCAAAATGGACATTATACAATTATTGACACTCCCTTCCGACTACTTCATGTTGGCGTTGGAGGTTTTCAGCGCGTTTATGGCCAATTTTATGGCGATCGGGCTTCGACGGTAAGATTGATGGTTGGAAATGAAGGATCGACCTGACCTCCGATCAATCTTCAAATCTTCATTTCAATTCTATTCACGTTACTTACACGGCGGCTTCACAAAAACTGACACTTTATCATGGTTAGAACTTCCTCTTAGCCACATTATGCGTCTACTAGCGTTTAATAGAATACTGTTAGCGAAGACACCGGTTGATTAAAACGTACCGGTACCGAGGAGGAGAATCGATTCTTTCTTACACAGACCAAACTAGGCAACCAGATTCAAGATCTCGTAAACTATAACGTTTTTTCTTCACCAGTCGCCACACCGCTTATTTAACATTTTAAGCGTTATTTATCATAAATTATGACAATTTCATATTCATAAATTAAAACAAAACAGAGGAACTGTGTTCGTTTAAAAACCCGAAGACAGGATTTTTAATGGTTTATTACATAATCGTCTCGATTCATATTTTTGTACAAAACTGAGGCAATCCCATACACATTTCCATTTTATTACCATCAAGCCAAGATTTGCGACCACTCAAAATTATAGGCGTACAAAGTGCACATTTTTCAGTGGTCAAGTGGACAACTTCGCCATTTACACAACAGTTATGACGCAAAGGAGAAACAAAAAGGTTATGAAGTCGACTTTTGACCAGACGGTTCCTTATAAAGTTAAATTAAGTGAAAAGTGGCAAAGGCACACCTTTTGCTACCACTAATAAAACTATCGCGCGTCGAGTTCTTATTTGATATTGCGGAACCGGACTCTAATTTAAAACCGATCATAAACAGTCAGTGTTTTATCTGCCATAATGGTTGAAATTGTTCAAATCGGGATTCATTTTTTATTTCCCGTTCGCTAAACGTTTAAATTTTAGGAAAAACATTTGCAAGGTATAATAACGTTTTATTCCCGACACGGTTCCGTGACTTAGTGGATGTTTCGGAGATAATGGCGATCTGCGGTACTGCGATTATGGTTCGATGACGAACTTGGACCTTTCCTTTTTTTTTTTAACGCCGTCACTAGAATTATCACCCCATTTTCTTTATATAATGATGATAAAATAAGAATTATAATATTCAGAACGTTTTGTTCGATTGTGGTTTAATTTATAATAATTTTAGTCCTGTTTTGAGAAGACAAACTCATTCAAATTAAACTAATTTCTACGTAACATTCTTTCGATGCATAAACATAAATAAACACTTGAGGTTCAGATACCGCTGAAGGACAAGGGGTGTTATTTATGCTTCTGTTTTTTACTTTACAGCGGTTATAGCATATTCAAAACCTCATTTTTTATAGAGGGTGGGTGGGCGGGGCTAGTACCTGCTAAGATAAGACGGATTTTAACAAATGACGTATCTTCTAAGAAATTTAATTAAATTATTATAAAAAAAGACACTAGAGACTCCAAAGCTGTTTCAAATTCTTTCCCCACAGGAATACTTAGAACATTAAAAAACGGGGTCCCAAAATTAACTCAAAAACAGGTCAAGTCAGAATTTTCCAAAAATACTTTGAACAACAAACTGCCCCAAAAATATTTTAAATATGTCATTTGCCAAAATCACTCTTATTATATTTCGCCTTTTTTTCTTAATATACATAGTATTCTTTGAGCAACACTCAAAAACATGTTTTTAATTTCTCGTAGAGAAATAAGGATTTTGCAGTTAAGCTCCAGACCTTCTTGGCTCACGACGAATAAAAAAAATCATCACAATCGAGATAGGGTGGGTGGGCGGAGCTATATTTTGACTTTTTTTCTCAATATGTGTAGACTTATTTCGACAACAGGACAATGGTTAAAATGGTATATTTTTGCAAGGAAATTTGGATTTTACAATTATTAAGGGGTGGAGCCTAATTGCAAAATCGACATTTCCTTATACAAATTTTCCATTTCAAACATGTTTTAAGATCCATGTTGTGAAAAGAAGTCTACACACATTAAAACAAAAAGGCAAAATATAAACCCCGCCCACCCACCCCATCTCAATTGTGATGATTTTTTTATTCTTAGAAACCTAAAACACGTTACAAAATTTACCACTTTAAACGTGTTTTAAGTTTCTAGGAATAAAAAAATCATCACAACTGAGATGAGGTGGAGGGGGCGGGGTTTTTATTTTGCCTTTTTTTCTTAATATACCTACATAGTATTCTTTAAGCAACACTCAAAAATATGTTTTTGAGTAGAAAAATAAGGATTTTGCAGTTAAGCTCCACCTTCTTGAATCACGACGAATAAAAAAAATCATCACAATTGAGAAGGGGTGGGTGGGCGGGGTTTATATTTTGTGTTTTTTTCTTAATATACACAGTATTCTTTGAGCAACACTCAAAAACATGCTTTTAATCTCCCGTAAAGAAATAAGGATTTTGCAATTAAGCTCCACCTTAACTGCAAAACCCATGTTTGAGACATGATCGTATTATAGAAAATAGACTATTTTGAGAAAAAGTAGGGAAAGAATATTTTTATTCTCTTAAAAGTAAAAGAAGATCGAAAGAAGAAGCAGAAGAAACCTAAAACGGGTTTAAAATGGTAAATTTTGGTAGAAAAATATGGATTTTGCAGTTAAACTCCGCCCTTCTATCTGACAACGAATAAAAAATTCATCACAACTGAGGTAGGGGTGGGGATTAATTATTGGCTTCTTTTCAACAACAGGATAGTTAAAACATAAATCTCAAGTTTACCATTTCATATTTTAATTATTTTATAGTTGAAAGAAAATTATGTGTATGTACTAAGAAAATCGAAGGATAAGCCCCACCCACCCGCCCCGATCTCAATTCTAATGAATTTTTTATTCGTTGTGAGATCGAGGGGTGGAGCTTATCTACAAAGTTCATATTTCTCTACAAGAAAACACCATGTTTTAAGTATCGTGTGGTTGAAAGAAAACTACACATTAATATGTGTAGTTTTCTTTAGTAGAAAAACGAAGCCAAAGTTTAAGCTCCACCTTGTTGGCTCACGACGAATAAAAAAATCATCACAATCGAGATAGGGTGGGTGGGCGGGGTTACATTTTGACTTTTTTTCTCAATATGTGCAGACTTATTTCGACAACAGGATATTTAAAACATGATTAAAATGGTATATTTTTGCAAGGAAATATAGATTTTGCAATTCTTAAGAGGTGGAGACTAATTGCAAAATCGGCATTTCTTTATACAAATTTTCCACTTCAAACATGGTTTAAGATCCATGTTGTGAAAAGAAGGCAAAATATAAGCCCCGCCCACCCACCCCATCTCAATTGTGGTGATTTCTTTTATTCTTAGACACTTAAAACACGTTACAAAAATTTAATATTGTAAACGTGTTTTAAGTTTCTAGGAAAAAAAATAAATTATCACAAATGAGATAGGGTGGGTGGGCGGGGCTTATAAGTTGCCTGTTTTTCTTAATATACATAGTATTCTTTGAGCAACACGCAAAAACATGTTTTTAATTTCTCGTAGAGAAATAAGGATTTTGCAGTTAAGCTCCACCTTCTTGGCTTACGACGAATAAAAAATAAATCTTCACAACCGAGAAGGGGTGGGTGGGCGGGATGTATAAGTTGCCTGTTTTTCTTAATATACATAGTATTCTTTGAGCAACACTCAAAAACATGTTTTTGATTTCGCGTAGAGAAATAAGGATTTTGCAGTTAAGCTCCAGACCTTGGTTCACGACGAATAAAAAAAATCACCACAATCGAGGTCATTAAAAAAAAAATCAGTCAGTGTATTTTATTGAATAAATCAAGAATTGCAAAACTGAATACATACTTTGAAATCTTGCAGACGTTTTAAAGTTATTTTAAGCATGGTAAATTGTTAACCAAAATTTATCTGTTTATTCCGGCCAAAAAATTGATAATGTTAAAAAATTGTTTCTAGATTTAAAAAGAAATAGTAAAATTTTCTAAAGAAATGTGGATTTTGTAATTAAGCTACGTCCTTCTAAGTGACAATAAATGAAAAATTCATCACAATTGAGACAGGGGTGGGTGGGTGGGCGGGGCTTAATCATTCATTTCTTTTTCGTAATGTATAGACTTTACTTTCAACAACATAATACTTAAAACATAATTTTAACATCAAATTCATCATTTGATATTTAAGTATTTTATTATTGAAATTGATAAGCCCCACCCACCCGCCCGATCTCAATTGTGATGAATTTTTTATTCGTCGTGAGACCGAGGGGTGGAGCTTAACTGCAAAGTCCATAGTTCTGTACAAGAAATTACAGAGTGAAATATGTTTGAAGCATTATCGTATTGTTTTGAGAAAAAATAGGAAACGAAGAAGAGAAAAACTTTACAAAAATAAAACTTTACTTTATAAAATTTTGCTAATAAAGCGGCACCAATAAATATATTGAGCAATAGAAATGTGCAATTTAGTTGGAACGTGGAGTATCCAAACTCTTTTGAAACATTGATAAATGCTTTAGTAGAGCCATCAGTGTTACAGTATCCAAATTTTGTAGAAAACAACACTTTTATTTTAACAACTGACGCCTCTTCCATTGCATGAGGAGCCGTATTCATTTCTTTAAGTCGGGCTTAATATCATTTCAGTAATATATCATTTAAATTTATTTTTTATGAAGACTTAATGCATAAAGAAATCGCTTACAATGCGAGCGCAGCGAGCGTGTGTAGGTGTTATTAAAAATGATTCACTGTTGTCCCTGAGCAGCTAAATTATAACAAAAAATTTATTTATCGCGTATTCTAAGGGTGAATTTCCGAAAATGTACAATTATTTTTATAAATGATCCCAAACAATTTCGCTAAAATATTTTCTTGAATATTTCTGAAGTAAACTATACTAAAGAAACAGCTTTTAGAAGGCGAGCGCAGCGAGCACATTCAGGTTTTATTAAAAAAATTGGTCCAAATTTATAAAATTTTTACCAAAATGTTTTGAGCCGTTCTTCAGAGACGTCATCCATTTTTTGGGAGGCGGTAAACGAATAAATTTTGATTAACAGTTTACCATGGTTATGATAACTTTTGCAAAATTTTAGAGAATCCGGTTTTGCAGTTTCAAAATTGAATTGCAAAATTTCGTCATACTTTTTTTCCAAAATTTGGATGTTTCGGGCAAAAAATCAACACGGATACGTAAGAGTATGCTATTTTATAAAATTTAAAGCACATTTACTGTGTACAATTTTGCAATGACGTCATCACATGGTTAGTGACAAGCATTAACGGCGAACAGACCGACAGACAGTCAGACAGACAGACGGAAATGGGAGAAATATCGTAAAAAACACCTCTGTCTTCTGTTTTGTCCTTTTTCTGTGTTTAACATCATAGAATCGCTTGAAAATCCTCACACTGACGAAGTATGGTATTTTAAAGGCCACTGTCATATTAATTAATGGTTAGTAGAATTTATTTAAATACTAATATCTTTATTAAAATCCAAATATACCACAAATTATTGAATGGTTAGTTCAGGGTCTTGCCGCTAGGAGCGCGACGATATTTAAACTCGGCCGATTCTTCTAATTCATCACAACGGATTCGATTTTATGCAGGTCGCCCGGAAGAATAAATTGTGTCGATTATGCTAGAAACTGATCGTCTAGCGTTCCATCTTTAAACTGATTTGTTTTTTCTTTTCAGGTCGTGACTGCCGCACTGACATCGACGACTGCGCCTCCAACCCCTGCAAAAACGGCGGCGAGTGCGTGGACCAAGTCAACGGATACCGATGCATCTGTCCTGTGGGATTCACCGGCCACGAATGCGAGGTAACTTCCCCAGGAACATTGTTACAACCCGCTAATGTCCGTGATCACACCAGCTTAAATAAACGATAATAACGAGCAGACATTAGAGATAATGACCGGCATTTACTCATTTCTCTCGGCGAACAAATCATTTAGCCGTCGTTTATAGTGCAAGCAGCAATGAGAAGAGACGCCCGTGGCGACATTTAACTACATAATCGGCTGCCTTTCAATAAAGCCGCAACTACGGGGGAATGACAGCGCAGCCACCTGAAAATTGTGTTTTCATCATTTTGTAATTGTTTTCATTCTGATCTGACCTGCCCAGAACTGTATTCTTATGTATGTGTGTCTTCTAGAACGACTACAACCACTGCAACCCGGACCCTTGTCAAAACGGAGCTTCTTGCTTCAACACCCAGACCGACTACTACTGCCACTGCCCTGAGGGGTGGCAAGGCAAGAATTGTAGCCAAAGCAAACTCCTGTGTGACAGCCCGCCATGTGACGACGGTAAGTTCTTGTCAATATGCGGAACTTACTACCAGATATGTTATCTGGAGTTATTCCAGGTTTCACAATGACCTCGCTTTTCTTATTTTTGTTGTTATAACATCTAAGCGCGTAAACATTCCTTGCCCATTCTTTTCGCGGTGATTTATCTCGAGACAATTGTAATTAATGACATTACCACTTACGAACAGGTTTATTTATGTTACGAACATTTCGCTTTCTGTCTTGAAAACTCTTCAATACTCAAGTCGACGCCGTAAAGTGATTGAGTCGCCAACCCACTTTTAAACGAGACAACTGCATCCAAGTTTGCAGTATGCAAATTTCGAAATTAATGGAACAAGATTATCACCCGCGGTTTCAAACGAGTTCTTTGTTTAAGGAAATAACTGATAGCCGAGGAGTTCCGTAAATTGTTCTTGCGAGAAACGTGAAACGCGTAATTACTTTGATCTGTGCGTTTTATTTTTGCCAGTTGAATGAATAAAAGAAGTTGTGGAATCAGGAAACGGTGAAAAGCGACTTTTATTTCCCGCAACCCGCAATACATAAAAACGCTCTACACCCAACGTGGTGGGAAGAGCACGAGATTTTATCGTTAGAGGTGTTGCAGTTATTGCTTGTAGAACCAGGTTTCGCTGACTTCCTTGTGAACATCAAATAAAGTCGTACTTTTTTGCGAAATACTTTACACTTTTATAGTACCTCACACGAACAGGTACGACATGCCAGCTTGTTTTATTTTAATGACGTATACGCGAATATATTTTTATGCCCGTTAGAATTTTATTTCCAATTAAACTAGAAATGTTTATTGTATGTCTGACTGAAAGCAAGTTCATTATCGTGTCTTGTGGCGCAATAAAAAGCCAGATTGCAACCAATAATGAAAATAAGGTAAAAATGCCTGAAATGGTACTGCATTTCTCGTGTCAAAAGGATTATGAATTGAAAATGCACTCATAATCCAAATAACGACGTTTACACCAGCGGAAAACGCATAATAGTCGCGCCGCCGTAACAGATTGACTCTATTAGTCAGCAACATGCAGATCTCTACCGATGTTATTGGATTGTCCGGTTTTAATCTTGCGGGATTCAACAACCCGGCGACCTGTCAGAGGCTTGCATTCCCACCGTCCAAATTAAAAACAAAAAATGTTTGCCATGAGGCAGATTAGTAATGATGAGTTTCGTTATTTATAATCAATACCGCTAATTTTAACGTTAGTGCAGCCCAGACAGCTACGTCATATGACAAATGTGACCTCGAGCCGAAATTTGGATAAATGTTTATTTACTGGTGTGACTTCAACAGAACTGTTTGGTGAAAAGGTATATTACTTAAGCGAAATTATGTTGGTATTGAATTTATCACTAAAAACGTCAAATGTCAATTTGTTAACTGGTTAGGGCTCGATTTTGAAATTCAAAGTTGAATTTAAGAAATGGAAATTCGTGTACATGTTAAAAAAATTGTAAATAACGCAACTGCAAATTTGCTGCAAAATCCGCAGATCGATATGAAGTGAAGTACAATTATGCTCCGCCCCTCGGTCTGACAACGAATGAAAAATTCGTCACAATTGAGATCGGAGCGGGTCTAGGTGGGGCTTAAACTTTGACTTACTTATCTTTTTGCATAATACTCGCCTCCACGGGAAAATAAATCAAAATTAATTATTATAGTATTCTTAGAATAACACAACTGTTTAAGAACATGTTTCACATGGTAATTTCTTGTAGAAAAATGAAGATTGCAATTAATCTCCGCTTCCCGGCTCATGCCGAATAAAAAAATCATCAACTGAGAGAGGGCGGGGCTTATAATTTACATTTTTTTAAATATACATAGCCGTCTTTTCACAAAAGAATCATAAAACATGTTTAAAATGGTAAATTTTTTTATGGAAATATGTATTTTGCAATTATGTTCCGCCCTTTGGTCTGACAACGAATGAAAAAATTTGGCTTTCTTATTTACTTAATACTTGCAGCTTTGTTTGAACAACACAATAATTGAAGAACATGTTTCATATCGTAATTTATTGAAAAAAAATGACGATTGCAATTAAACTCCGCCTCCCGGTTCACAACGAATAAAAAAATCATCACATTTGAGACAGGGTGGGTGGGCGGGGCTTATATTTTGCGTTTTTTTTTAATGTACATAGTTTTCTTTTCATAACGAGAAACATAAAACATTTTTAAAATGGTAGATTTTTGTGGGAAAATATGGATTTTGCAATTATGCACAGACATTAGTGATCACAGAAAATCTTTAAACTCATATTTTATTGACAACATTTTTCGTAATAATTTAGCTTCTCAGGGACACCACTGACTATTTTTACTTCCCGAGCGTAAAGGAAGTACAGAATCGAGTCCATCGGACGAATGGCCACTTTTATATTTTTTCGACGTTTCATGACCCCTAGAATAGAAAAAAGTGGTCTTCATTTCCGTTTATCTGTCTGTCTGTCCCTTTGGTGTCTGTATCCATTTTGATTAGACACGTAATCATTCCCACCAACTAATTGATGACGTCATTTCAAAGAATTCTATGTTTATTTTTTTTATTGATGAAATTACTCCCACTTTCTCGAAAAGGTGAGAATACGCCCCTTTTTATTTAAGAATGTGAAACCTTCTCGAGGGTCCCAACTGTCTTTTGGAAAAATGTAAAAGCTTCTTGGGGGCGCCAAAGTTGTTTTTTTTTTTTTTTTTTTTGTACAATTCAATAAATACGTTTTTTCTAACAGTGTGAATAACATCACTCAATAAAGTTTGGACGGTTTTTTTTAATTAACAAGAAGTACTAACAAACAATAACATAATAACTGTCAACAGTGTTAAGTGTCAAATTGCTACCAACTCAAATTTTAATCAATAAATTCCCCTATTTAAAATTACAACTTAAATGCCTAGTACTTTTTTTATATTTGGAACCACTTTTCGTTATAATAACATTAGACGCATGATTATCAATTACTAGTAATTGATTGGTGACAAATTGATCTGGAAAAGCATTGGAAAAAATTTAAAAATCCACAAAAACGTGCTGATTCCAAAAATATAGTCACAGAGTCCTAAAGTCCTAAAATCCTCAAAACACAAAAATCCTCAAGTTCTCAAAATCCTAAAATCTTCAAATCTTCAAGACTCCAAAATCCTCAAATCCTCAAAAACAAAAATCCTCAAAACACCAAAATCGTCAAATTCTCAAAACACCAAAATGCTCAAGACCTCAGACACCAAAATCTTCAAATCCTCAAAACACCAAAATCCTTAAATCCTCAAAGCACCAAAATCTTCAAATCTTCAAGACTCCAAAATCCTCAAATCCTCAAAAACAAAAATCCTCAAAACACCAAAGTGCTCAAGACCTTAAGACACCAAAATCTTCAAATCTTCAAGACTCCAAAATCCTCAAATCCTCAAAAACAAAAATCCTCAAAACACCAAAATCGTCAAATTCTCAAAACACCAAAATGCTCAAGACCTCAGACACCAAAATCTTCAAATCCTCAAAACACCAAAATCCTTAAATCCTCAAAACACCAAAATCTTCAAATCTTCAATACTCCAAAATCCTCAAATCCTCAAAAACAAAAATCCTCAAAACACCAAAATGCTCAAGACCTTAAGACACAAAATCTTCAAATCCTCAAAACACCAAAATCTTCAAATCTTCAAGACTCCAAAATCGTCAAATTCTCAAAACACCAAAATGCTCAAGACCTCAGACACCAAAATCTTCAAATCCTCAAAACACCAAAATCCTTAAATCCTCAAAACACCGAAATCTTCAAATCTTCAAGACTCCAAAATCCTCAAATCCTCAAAAATAAAAATCCTCAAAATACCAAAATGCTCAAGACCTCAAGACACTAAAATCTTCAAATCCTTAAATCCTCAAAACACCAAAATCGTCAAATTCTCAAAACACCACAATCTTCAAATCCTCAAAACACCAAAATCCTTAAATCCTCAAAACACCAAAATCTTCAAATCCTCAAATCCTCAAAAACACAAATCCTCAAAACACCAAAATCTTAAAATCTTCAAATCCTCAAAACACCAAAATCTTCAAAACTTCAAGACTCCAAAATCCTCAAAAACAAAAATCCCCAAAACACCAAAATCCTCAAATCCACAAAAAAAATCCTCCAAATTCCAAAATGCTCAAGACCTCAAGACACTAAAATCTTCAAATCCTTAAATCCTCAAAACACCAAAATCGTCAAATTCTCAAAACACCACAATCTTCAAATCCTCAAAACACCAAAATCCTTAAATCCTCAAAACACCAAAATCGTCAAATTCTCAAAACACCACAATCTTCAAATCCTCAAAACACCAAAAACCTTAAATCCTCAAAACACCAAAATCTTCAAATCCTCAAAACACCAAAATCTTCAAATCTTCAAGACTCCAAAATCCTCAAATCCTCAAAAACAAAAATCCTCAAAACACCAAAATCCTCATATCCACAAAAAAAAATCCTCAAAATACCAAAATGCTCAAGACCTCAAGGCACTAAAATCTTCAAATCCTTAAATCCTCAAAACACCAAAATCCTTAAATCCTCAAAACACCAAAATCGTCAAATTCTCAAAACACCACAATCTTCAAATCCTCAAAACACCAAAAACCTTAAATCCTCAAAACACCAAAATCTTCAAATCCTCAAAACACCAAAATCTTCAAATCTTCAAGACTCCAAAATCCTCAAATCCTCAAAAACAAAAATCCTCAAAACACCAAAATCCTCATATCCACAAAAAAAAATCCTCAAAATACCAAAATGCTCAAGACCTCAAGACACTAAAATCTTCAAATCCTTAAATCCTCAAAACACCAAAATCGTCAAATTCTCAAAACACCACAATCTTCAAATCCTCAAAACACCAAAATCTTTAAATCCTCAATACTCCTCAAGTCATTAAAAAGCAGCTAATTTTTGATATTTTACGAGGTACCGACTTAGGCATTTCTTT